AAAAAAAAAAAAAGAAAAAAAAAAGCCAATTCTTTTAATTTTGCCATTTTATTTTCTTATGCTTTCAAAAGTCAATCCTTTGTGTACCCTTTTTCCAAATTTGCCCCTCCCCCCATTTATCTCATTCTCCCCCCAAACTAACACTACAAAAAGCCAACCTTCACACAACCCTCAAAACCCCTTCTTAATGCAACAACAATCAAGAAAACCCATAACCCATCTCAAAGAAAAGCGAAAAAAAAACCACATTTTTTTTTAAAAACAAAAATAAAATGTTGTGGAAAAAAATCGGGTCGATGAAAAAACTCGCCAAGAAGAAGGCCAAGAAGACCAATGTCGAGCCCTATGAGTGCCTTCTCCCGGATAAGGATTGCGACGTGGGCCCCACAACACCAAACGGGAGCTTCGTCGTGTATGTGGGCGAAGATCGTACGAGGTTCGTCTTGCCAACCGGCTACCTTTCGCATCCCCTTTTCAAGATACTACTGGAAAAGGCATATAACGAGTTCGGGTTCGAACAGAAAAACGGGCTCGTTGTACCGTGCAGCGTGGCCGCCTTTCGGGAGGTCGTTAACGCGGTCGAGAGCTGCCATGGAAGGTTTGATTTTGGAGAATTAATGGAGGAGTTTCTTTAAAAAGAGAAGAAAAGAAAAAAGTAGTTTTAGTTTTTTGGATCTTTTGTTTAGTGTTCTTGTTTCTTTTAGGTTCTATATATTATGAGGAAATTGGAAGTTATTATTATTTTTTTTTGTTTCTTTTATTAGGGTGGATTTGATTATTTCATGATCATCCCTCTGAATTGAGGTTTAGAGTTCACGAGGGGATGTGAATTTTTGGAAAAAAAATAATGTTTTAAATATTGTTAGATGGTTGACATTGTTAATCTTGAGATTTTGTTGTGTTAGCTGAAAAATGTGACATTTTGTTTTCCTATCATTTAATTTAGGAGGAATTCGGAGAAAAAAATAATGTCAAATTTCGAGGTATTGTTATTTTTTGGGATATTTGTTGTGTAGAAATTAGAATATAACATTTTTGTTATCATTAATTAAAAAAAAAAAATAAAAATAAATAATCCTATGCCCTCACCGAAATTTTTATGGTCAAAATGAACTATTAATGTGTGTGTGTGTGTGTGTGTGTGTGTATAACTATATAATTCAAGACTTAAATCGACTTTACTCGTTATCTATTTTGGGTTGACCAAAAAGGAAAGTATTTCTAAATCATGTTTGGGACAGAGGACCGAAATTGAAGGTGTGATTGGTGGTCATAATTTTTATCTCTAAATTTCAGGTGGATAGAAATAATTTGTGTTTTTTTTTTTTTGGAAACGACAGAATTCATTACTAAAACACACGTACGTACAATCAGCTTAGTAGCCAAAAAGGGGAGACCTACCAAATATAGCCTAAGGTTATGTTTGGTAGACTAATAAGCTAACTATAACTTATTTGGTTAGCATATAAGCTTCATCTATTTAAATAGTTTCGTTTGGTAGGACGAACATTGTTTACAAAGGTCGAACTGGTCTCATAAGTTTATTTGGGTAGCTTTTCAAATAAGCCTGTTGAAATTTTTATTTTAGTTAACTTATCAGCTAATTTTACCAAACACTTTTACCATATAAACTAGCTTTTCAGCTATAATCATAAACTATAAGCTCGAAAATTACTAATAAGCTATAAGATAGTTTATCAGCTATCAGCTAGTTTTACCAAACATAACCTAAATTTCACACTACAACACATCAATGTTAATCTAAAAATACATTTTATTTTCAAACAACTTTCATTCTCTTGGTCTATTCAAAGATATAAATGGATGAAATGGGCAGTCAACAATCAAACAGTAAGCATGCAAATTGATTAATTAAGGGACAAAGTCTGGACTGGACAAAGCAGTTTTGGACCACCAGAATTGGGTTAAAGTTTGAATGAAATATAGGATAGACAATATTCATTTATTATTATTATTATTATTATTATTATTATTGTTATTATTATTATTATTAGTATTGTTGTTGTTGTTGTACAATGAACTGCTAGTTTGTTGATAGATTACCATCAATTGGATCATAGAGGTGTAATTAAATACAAATAAATATATTATAATAATTAAGTTGATATGATATGTTATACCACAAATACTCGAACTGCTGGACCGCTCCTCTCGAACCGGGTTGCGTCTCCTTGGTCGTCGGTACCTGCAAAGCACGCCGGGGGTGGTCCCGGCGCGAACACTCCGACGCTCAAGTCAGTGATGGTCTAGAGAGAAAACGGCAGAGTAACGAGATAGTTCGTGAATGTGCGTTGTGTAAAATGAATGAACCTGCTCCCTTTTATAGGAGAAAATTGGAGAGTCCCAGTGGGATAAGAAGTCTTTCTTGTGTGAACTACTTAATTAGGTCAAGAACATCTCGAATTGCAAGAGTCCTTGTCGCCACCAACTCCTTCGTAACTTGATCCCGAAGCCATCTTCAGGTTCTAGCCCCTTCGACGGCATACGAGGGCTGCCGGGCGCACGAGGACCACCGGCCACCTCCCAAGGCCGAGCACCCACCAAGCACTTTCTAAGGTCGAGTACCCGCCGAGCATCATCCCAGTTCGAGCACCTCGTGCTGAACACGCGTCACCGAGGGCCTTGCGCCAGGCACCTCCGCCGAGTATCTAGTCCTGAGCACCCCACATGTCGGGCACTACCTACGCCAGGCACTCCTCATACCGGACACTTATCTCATGCCGAGCATTCGCCACTCGCCGGACACTCACCCAACTGCCCGACTACCACAATGCCGAGCTGGTCCTCTTCATAAGGTAGTAATGACCGGATCACAACCGGTTCCTCATGAGCCGCTATTGACGACTATATCATCTAGCCCCCCCATTCCTTAGACACACCAAGTTTGTTGTAAGGAATGTAAAGTCATGCGCCTACCTCGCCCAAACTTTCTCAAGACCATACGAGGTCGCTCGCATAATCCCGTGTACCCGATGCTAGGCACTCAAGACCGTTCTACCGATACCGAGCATTCATTGTTGCGCGGGTGGCGCCCACCCGTCAAGCCCTCGAAATGCTGAGCACTCGTGATGTCGACGCCGGACACTTAAGACGCCGAACACCCGCATTACCAGGTCGACCCACCTAGCTGCGGTCCTAGCTCCGAGCCTCCCCAGGATGCCGAGAGCCCCGTCGGCCGAGCACCCACATGCCGAGGACGCACATTGCCGAGCACCCGTGATGACGGACACCACACTGCCAAACACCGAACGCTCCTCCGATGCCGAACAGTTGAGACGGACGCCGAAGCCGAGCACTAGAGGTGGGCGCCGAGCACTTGATGCGGACGCCGAGCACTTGAGGTGGGCGCCGAGCACTTGAACGACGCCGGGCACTTGAGTGACACCGAACCGGATGCCCCACGTCGAGCACTTCGCGATGCCACGCCGAGCACTTCGCGATGCCACGCCGAGCACCCCATGACGAACACCCCCACCCAAGAGCTCCCTCACGCCGGGCATTTCGCTGCCGAGTACCCCGCTGTCGGACACGCCGGGCACTCCTGACGCCGAGCACTGGAGAGTGCCGAGCACTTGTGGATGTCGGGCTCACGAGGATGCCGAGTGCTCATCCCTGCCGAGCGCCACACGACGTCAGTTGGCACCGAACACCTCACTACCGAGCCCCCCGTACCGAGATCTCCGCGCCGAACCTCCCCATGCCGTGTTGCCCAACGCCGAGTTGACCGTGCCGAGCTGACCGCGCCAAGCTGCCCAATGCCGAGCTCCTAGAGATGCCGAGCACCGAGAGCCGCCACGCCGAGCATTCTCACGCCGGGCACCGCCATGCCGAGCTGAACACTCCCGCGCCAATGCCGAGCCGGGGCATGTACGAGACCCCCACATGTGCACCCTATCACCATCACATGACTTCACATCATCTCATCACATGCCTACACCTACCACTTCTTCTTGAAAATCTCACTTGGCTTCTCCCACAAGACTCACTCTCCACCATTGATTAGCTTTCAAAATCAAGGGTCAAGATGACCCAAGACCCTAATTCTCCCTCTATAAATACTCCTTATCTTCATCCTCCTCATTCACCACTTCTCATCTCACAAAATGCCTCTACTACATAATTTCTCTTTCTAAAAAATAGAACACTCAATCCTTAATTGAATCTGGCGGCCACCACTCGACGAGCTCATACCACCGACGAGCCTATCTAATCCCGCCGATTACACCGAGCCCTTGGACCCTACGCCGAGCTTTCCGTCCGTACGCCGAGCACACACCAAGGACACGCCGAACTCGCACCCCCGAACACGCGGATCTCACACCGGCCCACGACCACACGCCTAGCACTACCAAAGCTCGACGATCTCTCCACTCCACCATTCACTATGGCGGCATCGGCATCCTTCATGGGTACGCTCCCCTCGACTTACTCTTGCTACTTTATTTTGTTGAAATTATTTTGTAATGCACCCTCTCATTGTACTTGCACTTGTTTGCTATTTGTTTTATTTCTTTGTCATACTCCTCGCATTTTACCGTTACTTCACCTTCGCACCTCTTTAGAGCAACCTACCTCTCCAACCCATAACAGCTCTTCCTCTACGAGCCATACAACTAGCTCCTCCACTACTAGCAACACTAGTTCCACTACAAATTCATCATCACACTCTTCACCCAAAGAGCCACTCCCCAATTCCTTAGCTCTCCCGGGCCCGACGACCCCTCCTGACACCAAAGCAAAGAAGAGTGTCGTCCACTCCCAAGCCATGCCTTCCAACCCCATCTCTTCATATACGGACACCCAAATAGCCCTTCTCGTCAAGAAAATTGAATTACCAAAAGGTTGGAAACTCAAAATCCCCGAGCCCGACGATTCTTTCGAGAGCCCCCTATCCGGTTACCACAGCTTTTATCTTGACCAAGTGAGCGCCGGGCTTAGATTCCCTCTACATCCCGACCTACTCGAGCTAAGCCAAATGTATGAGATGCCTCCGAACCAACTTCCTCCCAACTCGATTCGTCTCCTTGTTAGCTTTATCATGGTGTGTCGAGCCCGCCTCGGCGATCTCGACCCCACCCTATGCTCTTATTGTATTTGCCTTAGGAACCCGAAAGGCGCCCCGTACCTCATGCGCCGTACCCACACCCGCTTCATAGACCAGCCCCAATCGAAGTCACACAATTGGAAAAACTTCTTCGTGCGTCCCCCTCCCAATTCCTTCGAATTTTTGCCCATGGCCCCAAAGCAGGACAAGAACCCAAAGAGAAACGCTACCTACGAGGCCTTCATTGATCAGTGGAATGAGTGTCCCTTTCTCATGATGAAGCTGACCACTAGCGACCGGCTCCTGGGGCACTTCGGGCTGTCCAGACGTGCAGCTGACCCTGTAGATGACATAGGTAGCGTCGGGCACCCCGCGCCACTGTTGTACCCCTTACTTCCCTTTTTCACGTTAATCATATGCATATAACTCGTTTGCTTATATTTGTATCTTTGGCTTGTTTTGCAGAGGAGCTTCTTAAGACCGTGGCCGCACCCCCCTCGACCGTGACCACCGCTCCCACCGAGCCCTCAGGAAAGGTGCTGGCGTCCCCCAAGGAACGAACCACACCGG